CGGGGAATCGGAACCGATTGCCTTCAACCTGAATCCAATTTTGCACTGCCTTCTCAATGCTAAGTTCTCTGTGAGGAATGTTGTCGTACCAAGCATAATCGCGGCTCTGTGGCCACTTGAACGGCGTCTTGTACTTCGGCGGCGCCGGAATCATACAGAGGAGTAGTTCCTCCTTGGTAGGGCAATGGCGCTCTCTGTACTTCAACATGCTCCGATCGAACTTCCTTCCTCTAGTCGGATCTTGACAGGGAGTGTATTCGCTGAACGACATGTCGCAAGGAGATATCGTTTTTGCGGCTGTTTCCATGGTGTAGTTGAAATCGACGCCGTGGTGGCTCTCGAAGTCGAGCGAACGCGCTGGTGAAGAGGATTGGACGTTGGTGGATGGGAATGTTTGATCGTTGCAACCGACTTTGGAGTACGCTTCGGATTGGTTGATCGATGTTGTGCTGCCCTGCCATGCCCCGAAGAGGTATGATAAAATGCACAGCCCACTGATGCCGAGAATCAATGTCAGCCGCTTCCTTCTCGACTCGAGATGGTGATGTTTCGGTGAGCTACTATACTCCTTCGCCATTTATTTGAATTTTGATCCTTAGAAATTCCTGTGAAATCATCCAACAAACACTGATTGTTAACGAATCACTACTGAATCAATAGTTGAACCTGAAGCTATATTTTAGATATCATGTTCAAATGCACATATTAGCCACTCTTCATTCTGGATTGCTGAGTTCTGATTATGTTGGGGGAAAGAACTTGACAGACAACAGGAAATTATGGGGAAAACTTGTTCTTAAATGTTACATGATACTATTTTCACTTGCACATATTAGCCACTCTTGATTCTTGCTTCTTGATTTGATTCTGGTAATTGAAGGGAAACAAATTTGAAAGATTAGCAGGGAAAAATCGACAGAAAAGAAGATGCAAGCTCTTGCTTAAAATTTTGATATCATGAACACAAGCCACTCTTAATTCTTGATTCTGGGTTCTGGTAATTGAAGGGAAAGAAATTTGAAAATTGAGCAGGAAAATCTAACCAACAAAAGAAAATTTTGAAATCATTAGCACAAGCTGAAAGTTCAAATTTGGACAGGAAGTTGAAACGACAAACTACAAAAAATCAAGCCTGTACCTTTGTCCCCTCACCACAACGGCTAAAATTTCACAAACCAAAAGAAAGGGGGAAGAAGAACACCAAATACTTGGATTCATTTCCTTAGAACAACCCATTGTTTTGATTTAAATATAAGAACAAACTCCAACCCAGACGAACAGCATTTTCTTTTTCAAGAGCATCCCTTTAGATAGAAGGAAATAATAAAGAAGAAAAAGAGGAAAGACAGACCTGAAAAGGGTTCTGAACTAGGATTTGCCTGCTTGGGCTAGAAGAAGAGTATCATGTGATGATGCAAACATGGACCATGGCAGCAAGCGAGCTTGTTTCACTTTTTATCAACAATGGAAGCTCAAAATATAGTGAGAGATTAGCGAAGAGGAGGTGGAACTAGAAAGTGGTGGGAAGGTACGAGGAGAGAGTCAGGCATAGATGAAAGGGTAAAGTAAGAGGTTATAAAAAGAGCAACAATAATGGGTAAGTCGGAGAAAGGACGTTGAGACACTGCGCCATAAGAGAGGAGAGGCAGTGAGTGGTGGATACAACAGATTCACAAGTTTTACCCAAATTTGACACTAAATTAGAAGTGGCAGACCAAAAGACAGGCCAAAACTATCTTCCTTCGTTGTAGAAACTAACACAGACCCAGAAAGAAAAAAACACACACAGAAAGTAAAAAACACACACACACAGAAAGAAGGTGAATTGCTATCTGAAGGGTCGTCGATTATATCATAACTTTTCCTTAAATTTCTAAACTTGGCAATGAGAGAGAGAGACAGAGACAGAGAGACAAGGGGAAGGAGAGAGAGAATGAGAGAAGGATTTAGTCTAATGGAATAAGAGGGTTCACAGGAGCCTCAAATCACTCCCCACCTTGCTTTCATTTCACTTTCATTTTCATTTCATTTTACATTTCACACGTTGCTGCATTTCATTCATTCCATCGTCTTCTTCCCCCCATCCCTTTTTCTTCTTTTCCAAACTTTCCTCCTTCATATCCCCAACTTTTTAGGTTCTTATTCCAACCAATGCCGAAAAGTCGCTGACCACAAGCAATTATTTTTATTTTTGTCCATTCTTCAAAGCTAATGACCGGACAGCTGTGGTTTTTCCTTTTTTCTTTTTGAAAAAAACTACTGTGATCGAGTGAATAATCACAGTTAATAACACTGTTTTAAACACTCCCTAGGGAATCCCAAGAACCATTCCTTTGCCGACACACCATAGATCCGAACTTCCCCAGTAAGCCAATACAGAAAATGTTTAAAAAGATTTTACCAAGAATGAAAAAGTGAAAATCATTATGAATAACAATAAATAAGAATGAGAAAGAGACAGAGCTCCAGAGGAAGAGCCATATACGGAAAAAAGGATAGAAAATAAAGAGAAAAAGAAAAGAAATCACGTGAAGCTTATATTTATTAGAGGCATTTGTCCCTACATCTGATCTACATTATCAATCTGCTTGTCCTTCGTCTTCCCATTTTTATATATATTTGATTATGGTCCATGGAGAGAATCAGTGCTTCACGTCGATGCATTTACACTCCCAGTTTCTAAAATATTCATGTTGGCTAAATAAATATTCTACACATTTTCATCCTTATTTTATGTTTAATAATGTTTTTAGAAAACTATAGGAGTGGTTCCCGAAGAATGCAGATATGTTCTTTGAAAATTTAAGAACTTATTAGATACGAAATTCATAAATGTGTTAGACATGTTTAAAGTTTAAGATCGACTAAGAATTGGGTGACGTATTAAAAAATTTAACGAATGTTGATTTGTGAAAAAGGAAGCCGACACACAGATAAAAGAGAAGGGAAGTCGGTGGTTCTCCTTTTGACTATGGTAAAAGCAACCATCAAGTGTTCTATGGGAGCTAGACAAAGAGAATACCTGTGGGAGTATTGTCATTTTATATGACTTTTTTTTCTTTCATTCAAAGAACCCTATGGTTGTACTTGTATTTTGGATTTACATATTTTTATAACAAAATATGTTAAACACAAACTTTATACACAATGAAATTTATTTAATGCAACACTATGAATATCTAAAGAAATTTATTGAGTTTTAGTGGACCAAAAACAGACCAAAATGGTCAAAAGCTGATGGGGACAAAAACAACATTTTTCAGAGTGGCTTACAAATTTATAATTTCATGTTTTGGTTCATATACATCTAAATAATTAATTATATATTTAGTATTGTATACTTATATGATTAAATTTTTGTTGTCATGTGAATATAGTATAACTAGTATAAAGTTTGTACTATCAACCATATAGTTTAACTAATTATTATTAGTATTTATTCTCTTTGAGAAGTTATATCTTAGTAATTGAAAAAGCAATTAGCTTCGTAAATGAGTTATAAACTATATGGTTAGCATTTAAATTCATATTAGTGATTAATTTATAATTTTTCGTAAAAAAATTATGGTTATTTATATGAAATATTGAAGATATTGATTAATCATTGATATAAAAATTGAACCATTCAATATTAATAACCTCTCTAAACGATAGTTTAATGACAATGTTTAAGAAAAATAAGCATGGTCTAAATGTAGGCCTCAAGAATTGCAACAATGGTATGAGGGAAGCAAGCTTTGTCCTTGAAGAAAAAACTGTTTGTCCAAAATGATTGAACACAAAGTATGTATGTATGCCTTAAAATATGTAACATCAAATCTCAAGGCAACCATAGGTAGGTGATCCAAATTGATAAGGTTGGAATGAACAAATAATGTTATTGTTGATGAGGTGCATCACCTGAACTACCAACCTGGGAGCTCAGAAATAAATATGAGTATAATCTTAGGATGATGGAAGGTGATGAATCCGATTCTTCATCACTAGCTAATTAATTTTTCTCAATCCTCTCAGCCCAAAAATAGAACCATAGGATTCTATTCATTTTCAATCATGCCACCTAATGATGGTAGTCAATCCATGGCCCACATAATTAATGTTTTTAACTCTTTGATGAACAAATTTTTATAGTTGTCGATGAATATAAGTATTATAAAATTAAAGATTTATTAGACGTAAAATTAAAAATCTATTTTGAGAATATCTATAGGCACGCTTCTCTTAGGAAGCAATACTAGAGCATATCGGTTCAAGTCCAAGTACCAGCATACCATTTTATATTATAAAACAAGCTCTATAATATAATTGAATTGAGGGATCTTTAAACTTTTTTATGATATTTTCAACTCTGATTCATTATTTTGATTCGAATCTAGGAGCACTACCAAAGTATTTCAAAGAAGGATTATCTTGACAGATCTGCTTCTGACCTATATCAATTTAAGTTCGCTTCTGACCTATATTAACTTAAGTTAAATGGGATCTTTATCGTCCGCTTATGCTTAAAGCATAAAATATGAAACTTCACGAAAGATAATTTTGTTCGAGTCTTTAGAGCATCTATTAACTCATATTTTTTTCAACCGATATATCTTTAGAGCATCTATTAAAGCATAAAATATATCTTTTTTAAAGTCTATCTTTCTTAACCATTATAAGTTGGTTTTTTTGAAGTAACCCGCACTGCATTTTTCATTTTTGCACAGCAATTATGAGAGATGGACGAAGGACCAGCTGGGTGGGATGGGATGGGACGTCACTCAGACTCACTCAACTCAATATGTTTTGTGGGTCAAAAAGCCAATGGGGGGGTTGTGTTCTTTGTCGTCTAATGGCAGCAGTCTATGAACTCTGAAAATTTCTCATTACAAACTTACAATATGATGTATTGAAGCATTATAGTAAGATAACAATGATGAGTGAATCATGATGTGTCTAAGTTGTCCATTCAATAAAAGTGCAATATTTAGGGACATATACATCAAAATAATAAACAGTAATAATAAACTCGCGTGCATATTTCATCATTCATTGATCATAATCTTCTACAAGTGAAATAAATTCTCACTACAAAAACGAACACTGTACATCCGAAAGAAAATAAATGAAAAACAAATACTCTTCCAGCTTACCCAGAAGGAAAGTTCCTCAAATCTGCATAACCAGCATAATCTTCAAATTTGAACTAAATAACAATGATTCTCAGAAGACTACCACCTCTGGCCAATTTATATACCATTTTCGATCGACGAGAACGAGATCTGGCAATGGCTCATCAGCCTGCTGTCAAACTTTCCCTTGTATAACTTCTTTGAACGGCATATCAGGGTCTATGCCAAACATTCCTCTTATTGGATCATAAACATGAAATCATAGAACTGGCTGGAGGCCTACGCTACAGCAACCGCTGAGTTCTTTAGAACTGAGAATGTAACGAGGACAGTGAAGTATCTAGTGAATCCATTTGTCAAAGTCCTCAAATCTCTGAGAAATTGCACTACAACTGCTGCTCGTATACACTTCAATCAGTGACCGTAAAGCTTTCGATATCATTTCTCTCTTCTGGTTGTTGATGGAATTATCTTCACCATCACGCCAGTTACTTCTCTCACCAAGAGATGAGCAAAGTACCTTGAACCACTCCTCAAGAAATGTTGCTTTCTACCAAGGGTCAGGAAAACAATTAAGATAAGTGGACAAATAACAGAGCTTGCACAGCAGCTCAAGAAAGGGTCGGTGTCCGGCTATATGTATGAAAATATTATGTGCAATATAAGTGGATATTGCACACTCCAGAAACAGAATGGACTTCAAAAGAAAGGATGCAAATAATTCAATCTTGAAAGCAGCGAGTCATTGTACCATGACTTACGGAACATGTCACAACTATAAAGGTACCATTGTTAAGAACAGCTTATTTGTATTTGTTTAACATGACCATTTTGTGAGAGTGTTCTAAAATATTTGAATAGTTGTTTGACATTGATTCACTGATAAGGATGTATCATGTATGAAAATTATGCTTCATTTTAATGATACCAAATTAAAACCAATAAAGAGATGCAATACAAATTAACCGAATATATAAATTTCAAGCAAGTAACTTCATCTGTTTCAAATTAATTTACTATACACTTACACTAATTATATCTAAACTATTTTTTACGCTTCATTTTTTTTCTTCATCCGTCATGATTGTAAAGCTATTCACTGTAAGTTGTGAGGGGATTTTCTCTTTCCTTTGCTCTAGATATTTCTCTCTTATGCCCTAATACATCATGCTTCAAATAGATATTGGTTGCTCTTAAATTTTATGTAATAACATTATGATTTTTAAGCATATTGGAAAACTTCAAATGTCAACCCCCCATTCCTGCACGAGGCATTGAACACACTGTTTTTTTAGTACGTGAAGATGAATGGAAGTTCCAGTCCCAAACAAAACAAAGCTCAAACAATATGCAACGCAAATGTATCTAATGATTTTCACCATGTCTGTGTATCTTCCACTAACATAATAGCATGACGTGCCCATCACATATAATTCTTGGATAAAAATAAAGGCCCATGCCGAAGAATATAAAACTACATATTATAATAGTAAGCTTATATGCTAAAATTAAGTAAAGAAAGCTATACTGAAATACTATAATCAGTAAAGAACGTAGGCACTTACTTTGACCAGAAAATCTTTGAGGGGTTGATAGTCAGAGCCGGCAGCTAGACTTAAAACATGTAACATGGTTGAAGTCAACTGTACACAACCAAAAGATAAGTAGTTAGATAAAAATTGTTAAGAGGGAAGGAACATGAAACAGTCTCATCCCTCCACGTTAAAAGTTCATGGCCGTGCTTATAAATTATTTTCATTTTTCCCTCTCTTTCTCTTGTTCTTTATCGCTGAACTCTTAAATGTGAAGCTAGGTGTCACAATCATACAAGAGGAGGATAGTATGTTGTGACTCTTACGTAGTGGACAAGAGTAACAGTGACACACAAGTGTCTCCCATTGAGTCATGCCAATAGCTGATAGAGAGAAGTGACATGATGCAACCGACGACGATGCATCATCTAACACAATATACCAAAAAGGGTAAGATTGTCAAACTATGGTTTAAGCAAGAACAAAAGCGATAATGTCTCTAGGGGTGTCAAAGACAAGCTTAATGGGAGCTACATGGGGCCTTGCATGATGACCTCGAAAGTTAGGGTTCTATTTTGAGTTTTGACAAGTGGCTCTAAAGTAAGTTTATACAAGTTAAAGATGTAAATTTGTCAAATTTGGTGTCAATCAAACACCAAACGGACGATTTATATTGACATATTGACTCCTCATCATTTTGATGTGCTTGGGTGCTAAATCAAATGTGCCTTATAATGAAGGAGGCATGGTGTTTGAGTCACCACCACCCTTAATCCTCATGGCCTATGTGAGCCACCCCATGATGTCATGGTGTTGGTGAGCATTCCAAGGATAGCGTTGGATGACATGAGTGTGCCAACATTGTGTCCATTTCCATGACTCGAAGGTTACGTTAGAGGTCCGAGCTTCACAACGATATGTAGAAATGACTTTATGGACACGAAGGGTTCATGCCTCGATAGTGATTGGATGAATGGATGTCTGAGAGATCTCGAATATGCATTTAACTCATAGATTGATTCGCGATAAGCATGTCCAAGCAGGCAACAAAGGCAGATTACATCCTGACACTTGGAGTAGCATCATGAAGCATCAGTGGGACTGGATAGTTTACTATTAACACAGTATTTGCCTGTTATGTCCTGCTAAGCATTATAAATGCTCGATGAGTTCTGGTTTGCAAAGTTGTGCTATCGGTAAGCGTTATAATGCCCCAATAAGGCTCAATAAGTGCTGAAATCACCCAATAAGCTTCAATTGAGCATTTTAAAGTTGTTTTGACTCAACAATGGGTCCAAACACATCTCTATGAAGTTCAAGATCGATGTAGTAGTGTGTAGGCCATGTTATCGAGAATCAAGATGATGAAATGAGATGAGATGTTGCTTTTGAAGGACCATGGCCTAGAGTAGAGATAAGATTGAGCTTTAGGTCTTAGAGTCACAAATGAAAGAAGATACACGTATGGGCGATGTATATGACCAAGAACACTTTGTTGAACATGAATTGAAGCTTAGTTGAGGATGAAAGAACCTAAAAGCTTGATGAAGCCATAAAGAACAACGTAAGAATAGATTACGGCTTAAGTTTTCCTTAACAACTGCGTTGAACATAATCGTGTGTAAATCATGGCGCTACACAGTTGAAAAAGTACGTCCAAGACACTATGCACTTACCACCATTGACCAACTTCTCATTTATCCACCATTGACCAACTTCTCATTTATCCACCATTGACCAACTTCTCATTTATCCACCATTGACCAACTTCTCATTTATCGCACCTCTCCCACATTCACTTTTACGATTTAATTGGATACAAAACCAACTTTCATGGACAATATCAGGATTAAGAGGAGGAACCACAACCTTGTGGGAATTTTGGAAGGATGAAATAGAAGTTCAGAATAAAAACAGAGTGAATCACATTTTATGGCTTTCTTGTTGATGCCATTTTTGGGATCACCAACATTTTTTTTTTGTTGGTTCATGAGTTCACAGCTAAGCTCCCTATAACCACAGTACTCACTCAACGATAGAAATGAAAGGTTGGTTTTAAGTGCTAAGTTTGTTTTAATGTACCAGTATTGCTCGTATTGAAATTGGTTGAAGAAATTGACCTGCTTCTCAAGTGCAACCTTATACTTGAAACTTGGTGCTGGAATATGATTTGATTCTAGATTCTCAATTGTGTGCTCCAAACCTTGGACTACATCTGGAAAAGACTTCCCATAGCCTGCACCAAAAAGTGAACTTATTTAATTACCCATCTGCAGGAAGCTGCAATTTCATTATAACCTTGGAAAAATTACATTAGTATGACTGGTATACAAAAATACAGTTCTCATTACTACCACCCATCTTCCCTTCAAGAAACAAGTCGTGCATTTATACCAAGTAGAATGGACTTCACTAAGGTTGTCAATTTCCAGTATTACGTTCTCAGGCTAGCTGATAGCGCCTACTTACCATACACTGAAGCTGGCACAGATAAAGCCGCAGCAGCTTGTATCCTCACCTTAAAATTAGGGGAATCCCGCAGTAGTAGCAAAAGAATATTGAAAAGTGATGAGACCCTAGCAAAGCAGCAAACAAAAATTATGATAAAAATATCGATGGCTTTCAGCAAGGAAAATGTCCAGAAGGATACTGATGACCTAAGAAAAATGTACACAAACATTACAAACCACCTACAAGATTTACCGTTGCTTGAGCAACTAGATTAAGAATATGAGCATCACAGAACTTTTATACAAAGATAAAATTCACATATTATAAGTTATTATCAAAACTATATTTCTACATTGAGAAGACTACAGTTTCTACAAGGAAATATCCCTAAGGCATGCTCTCTTGTTAAAATATGCGTTCTGACACTTGCGTAAACATGACCTATTATTTGAAGGTTCAAACATGGCCATTTGTGGACAAAATTTGCACCAAATCTCTAATTCAATTGATGATTCGAACAAATCTAAAGAGTCTGTCTAAATATATTTTTTTGACAATATAATTTTATCAAACACATTTAATTCTGTTTTACCTGTCCATGTCCTGCAGTCACAACCGTCCAAAAAATTATTGGACTGACAAAGAAGGGAAGTTATTCTTTAAAATTATAGTCTAACATGTTGCAGGAAGTGAGGAATATCCACTGGTTACTCGACAAGTTGATTTTATCAAGCATTTTAGATTCAATTTACCTGTCCATGTCCTGCAGTCTCAATGTTTCATTTAAAAATAAGTTGCTTAATGCATGACAAACATTCCACTGGACCTGTCCAGCATACGTTTAAATTTTAGTGATCACAAAATATTTAATGCTAGAGAGACAGACTTATCTAAAGCAAGCCTGACAGGATAACTGAATTTCACATGACAAATATTACCTTCACATTTCCAGTTGTGATCCCAGAAATAAATGCCTGAACTATCCTCTCGAGAAAATTTGAATTACTTGTCGACAAGAGATCTGAGTTATTAACTGCTGGATATAACCCCAAATTAATTACAGGCTTCTCACAGGGGGATGTTAAATCCGAAAACTTTATCAACCTTGAAAGATTTCCCAGAGCTCTGACAGCATTTGATTTAATCTACTGGTGCAAAAAACAGGAAACTTACCACTGCATCAAGTGGCAAAAAAAACTTCTAGATACAACATACTTCACAATAAGACTAAATATCTAAAAGAATAAAAAGATGAAAAATTTGGTGGCAAAGTAATTTACAAAAATAAGATAAATACTATAAGTCTAGAGCTCCCTAGAGTTGCCTCTTCCATCGATGAAAGTGGCAGGTATTGTTATCGTAGAATAATGTAGTTTTATTTTATTTATTTTTTAACAAGAATGAAACCTTTCACTGAAGTAATAAAAGGAAACAGAGTGAATAAAATAATAGAAAAAAGAATGGAACAGTTTTCTTATTCACTGTTTCTATGGAAACAGGTTAAAAAATATAAAGTGTAGATAGAATTTACAAAAAAAAAAAAAAAGGAAGAAGAAGAAGAAGAAGAAAGAATCTAACTGAAAATTAGAAGATGTTCTCAATCAGGAAGATCTCAAATATGAAAAAGAAAAATAAAGGGAAAGATAGAAGAAATAAAAAGATTAAAATCTATTTTAAAAAAAGAAAATGTCCTTTTTAGATTATAAAAATCTACACCTCCTTAAAAGTTGGATTGGACGTAGAATAAAAAAGCTTTTAGAATTCTTTAAAGCTTGCCCTTGGTAATGCTTTGATGAGAGTGTCAATAATTTGATAGCAAAATGATGACATGTTCAGTTGCACTATTACCATTGTTGACTCTTAAATATAAAACAAGGATCGATCCTTATGTGTGTGTGTGTGTGTGTTTGTGTATGTGTGTGTGTTTTTTTTTTTTTTTTTGTTTTTCTGTCATGATACATAATTCTTTGCTATGTTCATTACTTCCTAACTATCTGAAAGCATTTTGAATGAATTCTGAACATTCATCCTTTTGTCAAAAATAGCTCATTCATGGAGTCTAACTAGGCTCGTTACCTCATAGACCAAGTTCTCCCCCATACCTCTTTGTTCCCTTCTAGTAAATTTGTATCACTTTTATTTGTTTCCTTTCAAGGTAAAGTTGAAGAAGTAACTTATTGAAATCTACACCTAGTTATTGCTCCTATTATGGGGTAACTGGGTCACTTGGAGAAGCAAAAAGCAAGCTGTTATAACAAGATGCAGTGTAGAATATTGTGTACTTCCTTCGGTATTATTTATGAAGGTATGTGAATCCAAAAGCTTTTGAAGGATCTAAACATAAATCTTCAAATTCATTCCAAATATTTTGTAATAGCCAAGTAGCAATCAACATATTAAAATCTCATGCATCATGACAGATAAAAGTACCTAGAGATGGATTTTCATTTCATATCAATAACACAGTAGAACAAAACATTGTATCATCTCGCCATCAAAATGTTAACACTCTCACCACAACATTACTGATAACCACCTTTGATTACATTAATTAGTACGCATATTTTCTTATTGGGTTTTAGTTTAATTTTTACTCAGTCTATCTTTCATTTTTCATAAATTCTTGTTGTATTATACCTACCAGTAATTGGTTCCTTCAGTGAATAAGAATATTATTTTTTCCTCCCACAGCTACAATCTGTGCAATGTTCATGTAGTTGGTGTAAAACCAACTTTAGATGACAATAATCTGCCTTTTACAACCTAAAGTCAAGTATTTGAGCTTGTGGAAATACCAATAAAAGACCCAAGGACCATTAAATTCGAATGGTAAAAATTATTCCTCCCCTGAAAACCTAGGCTCTGTTGTTTGGGAAACAAATGCCCCCAAGTCAGTAATCTTCCATTTCTTCCCTTTGCTCTCAAGAAGAAGAATCGCCTGGATCACTTATTCATGCAGTGTTCTTTTGTGCATCAGGGGTGGTGTTTTCTCATTGATATCTTTGCGACCTCTTTATGCTTCCCTCCGTGTGTAGAAGTTTGGCTTTTGAAAGCTCTTCATGCATATGATCTCAAGGGAAGAGCTAGAGTCTTGTGAGACTTGGGTGAGATACAATTTGTGGTGCTGCTAGAAAGAAGGGAATCAAAGGATTTTTTAAGATAAGTTTGATCATTCCAATAGTTTAGTAGTGGACAACTATTTACTTCTTGCTATAGAAACAACAAATTATTTTGTAATTATCCTCTTTCTTTGATACTTCAAGAGTGGAGGGCTCTTCTGGAATAGCATTTAGGGAGGGGTTCTCTCGTCCATATACCCTATGCATATGCATACACCTTCAGATTGTTCATTAAAAAAAAAACTTGAGGAACAACGGAATCTTGATTCAAGAACGAAAATTTTCATGGTATCTTCTATGGAGTAGTCCCTCAATTCTTGGTGTCGCATTGCTGGTAGTCTGGCTCATTCTTGTGATTATTGATGAAGATTATTATCATTAACTTTTGTTTGCTTCCAATGGCCATACAGATTAGAAAGATTCAAAACCAACCGATCCAACTGTCCAGCCATCATCAATCATACAATGAACTTTGATCAAATTTCTTTGAACTTGTCCGAGAGATCCTTAACTGACAGCAAGAGTCGAGTCAATGTTCTTGGTGATAAAATGGTTTGCATATTTTTATGGAGTTCCACCTTAGAATCCCTAATGGACTGAACTGCCTTGCTTCTGAAAGTGGTTATCTTTTTTCTAGCTATCAATCCTTCTCACGAGGTTGCTATAATTATCAATTTGGTGTAAACCCAAAATCAGAGACTTTATTGTTTATAATAATCTGCCTTTATCAAACTAAACAGTTATATTTATAATAGTGATGCACTAACAAATATTTAACTAATCAGAAAATCAACTAACAGCTATTATATTAATCACAATCAGTCAGGACTAACAAAAAGTCTAAACTAGTAAGTAACTATTCTAGGGTTTGCACTACAGCAGTTGTTCAGATTGAAGGATTGCAATTTACATGCAATTCTCTTTTCTCAGGATGTACTCTTATCAATGAAAAGTTTGTTTATTGTTAAGAAAAAATGATAATAGCGAATAAAAGGCTAAAAATAAATTCCACGATAATAAATTTGCAAAGCTGAAGATTTACCTTGTCTCCATCATTTGCTAGACGCAAACTGCACTTGATTAATAGTGTTAATGTATGAGAACGTTCTATTGAATCTACAAAATAATCAGTAAAATGATTAGAAAACCTTGACTTTATTAGTACCTAACAATCACGAGATTCACAAAAGATGGTGAATACTACTAGTCTGTTTCCTTTAACTCACCTGTGGGTTGTCTTGAAGGAAAATCATCAAAAAAGCGACGGATTGACTCGCATATATTTGCCAATGCCCAAGAGGCTGTTCCTCTTACCTAAAAAGTTGTGTGAATAATTTACATATATAGATAAAGAGAAGCAGAATGTTTAGTATGCTAATATCAAGGAATATTCATAAAAACAATTACCGAAACCAAAGAATCACGAGTGTTGATCTCAACAGCATGGATGAACTTATCGAGAATCTCTGCACTATATCATTTAGACATTTAGAAAAGGTTCAATCACGTTTTCAAGATGAAGTAATGAAAATAACATAGATATTTAGCACGCCATTACTTTAGAAGCACCTTTGAGAAACTTGAGGGAAACATGATATGACACCGATGGCACGACAAGCAGCTGATCTCACTGATGGCACCTCATCATACACTGCAGCATTCACCTTTGAAATAAAGTACATAGCTGTTGAAAATTGACTTTATCCAGAACACAAAGGATTCTAGAGTAGACTTGGGTCTGATCCAAATGAAACCTTACCACTGAAGACAATATATAGTCCTCTTTTTCCTTAGAGAGAGAGGAGAAAACAGGGGAAGTAATACCCGCAAAACATGTAATAGATGCTGCTCTCACCTTCCATAAAAAATAAACAAGTTGAAGAATCGGTTATAACAAATATAAACTCAACATCTCACACTTCACAGGATAAATATGTTTTATAAGTTTCAAAAGGATTGAATTTTGTTAACTTATGAAACATATGAGCAGAAAAATGGTATATAGGGAACCAATATTGCCAGATAAGTTCTTATCAACCTTCTCAAAGTGCAACGAAAATAACTTGTTTCATTCAATTTTCATTACTTCCAACCGGACAAATCAAAAGGACGTAATTGAAACTTTTAAGGGAATAAGAACCAAATTGAAACAAAAGTTAACATAAGAACTAATAAGTGTGTGTGTGTGTATATATATAGCTGAACAAGAAACAACTTTACATTGATACAATGAAAAGGAAAATGTTCCAAGGATACAAATTCCCAAAAGGAGTGAAAAAGAAACAGAACAAAAAAGCAGACAAGATCATAAGGCGATTAGAAACAATAGAGAACAGACAAGAAATCAAAAGGACCCACCAAAAGGATCTCATTCACTGAAGAATATAACTATTGTTTAGCTTTTTCCAATTTGTCTTTAGATCGTCGAGTGTCTGTTTGAGAAGTTTTGAGTTGTATTGCCTGGTATTTATAGTAGTTTTTCAGTTCTAGCCTAATATTTTTGGATTATTTAATTCTTTAGATTGTGCAGTTAGGTTGTGGTTTGTTTCATATATTTAGTTGTTTTGATGTTCTTTTTCCTTGCGAGTTTTCACTTTTTCTTGTAATTTTTCATTTCATTAACAAAAGAAAAAAAATCCTTAAAAAGACACCACATGACAAAAGGGGACCATTGAGAGAGGGAGAGTTGGCAAGTTTGAGGTCTTCGGGAGACTGATATAACGAGGAATTAGTTGTCCACTTCTAGTTTCATTCTCTCGGACGTTTTTGTCTTAGTCTCTTAGTTGAGCCAACATGTCTATCTGTAACCATGTCTAAATCTAGCACCTACTAAAAGTGTTTGATGGTCCCTAGATCTTTTTTTTCCTGACAAGAAACAAACTTTCATTTGATAAAGGGACCCAAAAAATCAATGAATCGTACCATCGTGGAAGAAAGCATTTCATTATGATAAGATTATGAAGCTTATCAAGGAGTGCAAAAACTTCTTTTCAGACGTTGGAAAAGATTGATATTGTTATAAGTATTGGGATTTATGGGATCTTCAGTCATGTATTCCAATTCATTTCCTCTTTTATGTTTTTAGTACTATCATGTCCATGTACAGTGTGTACTTCCTTTTGTAGCTTATGTGGTCTCACTTTCAATTGCTACCAAATAATTCTAGGAGTCTACTTATTTCCTTCTCAGCATCTTGGAAGGTGTATATTCTTTTTACCTACGGAACAACAAAACATTATAAAGCAGCGCCTGTATGCGTATATCATGATATATAGAACTTCTCATAATATTTTGAATAAGAATAAGGGAAAGTCCAGTCTACCATTGCAGAAGTATGCAACAAACTCCTAGGTAAATGCTTCTCAATCACTTCACACCACTGCTTCATTCCTGCGCATTCCTCCTCTGGACTGTCAACAGTCTCATTTGAACTCTTGAATTCATATGATGGAGCTGACGAAACCTTCTTCATTCTTATGCAGTCGGAAGTAAATGGAGAATCAAGTAGGTTATCATCCAAAAGATCCTCCGTACCTTTGAACCCAGATATCGCCCGAAGACATTCATCCAAAACCTGACAGCATTAATACGTGGAAAGTAATTGCGATGAAAAAGAAGAAAGCAACTCCTAAACATCAATCTTTTGACGTACCATAATTTATGAGTTTACCAACTAATCCCCTATTAGATATTTGCAAAAAGAGAAGATTACAAATGTTCCAGATAAGACATTCATTATGTAATTGATAAACACCAAAGTCAGTCCATCTAATGACCTTGCACATTTCTTTCACTCTAGCCTAGGCCTCCACAGAAAACTGATAGGACCAAAATCTTCCCTTCCCAATGGTAAGCTATCTATTACTATTGTATGTGGACAATATTATTATTACTATTTCAAACTATGAAGAAAAGAGCCACAAGGTCAAAGGACCAGTTAGCCTATACATCCTTTACATGATCTAAAGAAAATTAAGTAAAAGTAATAGTTGCGCTGTTAACTAACGTTGTGAAAAGTAATATTGTCATCATGAAATTATCACGTGATGGTATTGTTATGATATCTATGTTATTGAGAATAAACATCCTTTATTATAACGGTACATTCTATAGTTTAGAATTCTCATGGGTACCTATATATATGTGACTCTAATTTTTCTCTAATTTTGATTACAGGAAATTAGAGTCCCTAGGGTTTCAGGATTTTTTCTTGGCAATTAGGGTCTTCTAAGTGAGGCTAGAATTTTAAGTTTTGGTCATCACATTAAAATCATCATTTGTCAACACCACCTACCCTCAGGATGCCGCCATCAGTAGAGCTTTCATAGAAAGGAGCCACGTGTGAGCCACAAGCACTGCTAAAAGCTTTTGCTTCATCGCCACACGCTAGCACGTGAGAGCACCATTCCTATTTCCATTGCCTAGGATTGCCTCAGATTTAAGTTTTTGGTCATTAAATCTGGTTAATGTTTCTCTTTAGTTTGTCTCGAATTGCCTCAGCTTAGAGCACGTGCGCTAAGATTTGACAAAACCTACTTAGTTTGCCTCGAATTGCACTATTGGGTGTGGCCGGGTTGGTTTTCTTACGGTTTAGGTCTGGTTAATGTTTCTCTTGGGATTTTTCTGTAGTTTGTGTGTAACTAATGGCTGAAGATATGAAACCTATGGTAGTATCTAACATGGTTCCTCTTTCTTCAAAGATCACAAAGCATAAATTAAATGGCTCCAATTATTATGATTGAAGTCAGACGATTTGATTTTATCTACGAAACATTGAGAAGGATGATTATATTGATTAGGATCCACCATAGGATGACACAAAAGAAGACTTAGTTTCAAGATGACACTCGATTGTACATTCAAAACAAGAATTCAATTGAGAGCGAAGTAGTTGGCATGGTAACTCATTGCAATTTAAGAAGGAACTGCTCGAGTTTTTAGGATTTTTAAACTCAAGAAAATAGGAGGTCAATTGAATGTATGAACTTTGCAGGCCTTCTTTAACGCGGGCAGAGAATCCGTCACAAAGTACGGAATAGGTGTGGAATCTCGTATAAAGATCATGGTCATACAAAAGTTAAATATTTTTCGGTTGTTGACTGGGTAGGATCTAGAGAAGATAGAAGATGAACTTTTGGATATTGTGTTTTTGTAGGAGGTCGTTTAGTGTCATGGAAGAGTAAGAAACATCAAGTGATTTCATGTTATAGTGACGATTTAGAATATAGAGCTATGGTACAACCTGTGTATAAACTAATGTGGATACATCAACTTTTGACTATAAACTAGTGTGCATACATCAACTTTTGACTGAGAGACTCTAGTATTACTCTATTAACTAATTTGTGGTGTGATAACCAAACTGCATTTCTCATTGTATCTAATCTAGTGGTTCATGAGTGAACTAAACATTCGTGAGAAAGTACATCAAGATTAGTGTCCACAGGATCTATGAAGACTAGAGTTCAATTGGCAATCAAAGTCTTAAATGGAACAAGAATATATCATCTTTGTAACAAGCTGGGCATGATTGACATATTTGCTTCAGCTTGAGGAGGGCATTATAATATATACATTATTATGTATAGTCATCCTTTGTTGTAATTGTACATCCTTTACTTTAGGGCTCTCTTGTTTACCTATATATACATGACTCTCTAGTCTAAAATAAATTGTATATTTTCTGTATAATGATTATAAGTATGATACAAATTAATCACAGGTATTCGTTTCGGCTCTTAATAATGGAACTTTCAGTTATACTCCTCCATTCCTAGTTAAACTGTTGGGTGTCAAACTTCTAATTCTGCATGGGCTTGTTATATGCAAGTGGAATTATAGTGTTCTTTGAACTTGACTGTTTTTGCTATTAACCTTGGATAAGTTAGGACTTCTCGTCCACCTCAGACTTTTTTCCCTGATTTGTTTTTCTTTTATAATAGTCGTTTACAAGCCAAAGGCACTTTTGAGCATTTTACCTTGACAGCCGCCGTTATAACTTTCTCTCCAATAATTCCAACATTGTTTCTCGAATGCACCCTCCACTGCCCCGTAGAAACTTCAGGAGCAGCTTCATGTAGAAAGTTGGAAACAACTGAGGAAAGTTGTTCCCAGAAAGCAAACATGATATGCGGGTAATTGTGTGATACAGCCTTTAAGGCCTGCAACAAAACAAATCTCATAAATCGTCTCAACCATATATACTATGTAATTTTTCCAGAAAAGATATCACTCCATTAAAACCTCACCAGCCAAACGACCAAATACCTTTGATGAGCCATTTAATAATATATGGAGCTCAAAAAGTGAAGAGCTAAATCCTATGCATTTGCAGACTTCAAATCCCATACGATGCACAAATTATTGATCAAGCATTCATAAGTTGAATATTGAAATGATTCCTTAAACAATAAACTGAGTGCATTCTCGACCAGGAAAAACAGACATTCAAAAGAACTGAAAGATGAGATAAGACAATATTCATAACCATGACAATACATATATGAAGTCACGTGAACAATATTAGGTGGTTGAGAAAGAAGAGCTGCAAAAATAATAAAACCAATGGTCAGAAAAATAAACTGTAGAAAATTTTCAATATAATATTACCTGAAGAGCCTCTATACATATGGTTGGGTTGGTTAATTGCTCAGAATATTGAAGTAATGTGATAAGAACACTGTTTCCCTTTTGAGCTGCACAGACAGAAAAACAAATCATGTGGGTATCGAGGAAGTTGGTTAAACAAACTCGAAGTACATCATGTGATTTTCTTCAAAATATTATGTTCATTGACAAAGCAGATAACTACAAAGGAATGAGTTCTCTGAGAACTTTAATCAAAGGAGCTTATTATGGTTCAGAAGTATTCCATAAGAGGTTACCAGTCTAGTTAGAGAAGTTTTAAGAACAAATTAAGTACCAAAACACTAAATAATTCAGCCAACACTATTAAAACAAATTCCCTACACCAATTCACATGCTTAAGGCTTCTTCTTAGAGTGGTCATATAAACCTTTTGTTGCTTTTACTTTGCTAGATTTATGTTAAATTGGAATGTTTTTTTTATTTAATTTGTAATGTTATTTTCCTGTTCTTCTTTTCACTCATTTGTGGAGCTTGTATCTTTTTAGGCATAATCTCTTTTCATTTATTCACTGAAAACTTCATTTCTTGTTCCAAAAAAATGAATCTCTATATTACCTCGAATCACGGATACAAATTGCAAGCTATTAGGTAAGGATCAATTTATTAATTATAGAATGTCTGTGAATTGGAATAAACGTAGAAATTTTTTATAAAGAAAAGGATAAAAGTAGAAAATAAGCCCCATAAGAACTAAATTGATTAAGAGCATTACACAAAAGTCTCTGACGGACACATTACAAAATATTCAAGAACATTAGACAATTAATATGACACTTAAGAACACGTCAGAAAGAACCACAACACATGACTAACCTGTGGATATTTGTTCGGAAAGCATCTCTTTTACATGAGGAGAGGACTGAGAAACAGATACGGCTGCATTTAAGCAACTGATAGCAGCAGCCTGTAGAAAAATGAAAAGAAATACTTCATTAACAACTACACAAAAGAAAATCAGGATAAGGTTCCAAAAATATATCTAACCAGCAGGTCGGTTTGATCACTTTTGAATGGAAAGCCCTCTTCAATTGTTGCTTGCAAGGCTTTTACTATGTTCGGCAATAACTCTTCAGGCATCCTTGGATATCTGAAATAACAGGATTTTTCAATGTGTTAGATCCCTTAACTAAGTGACAAAGCACACAAACACATAAGCACGTGAGGAAGCCCTAGGATTAGCTCTGATATAGGATGGTACAAATCAATGTTAAATGGCCACGCCTTTCACCATTGCTCCTTCTTTAATATAAATAACAATATCCATTTGGTATGAAAAGTTTGTATCTCGTTACAAAAAAGAAGTTCAAAAGGGGTTCTTACAAGCCGAAAAAATACGAAGTTACAGAGAATCCGAGGAGTCCACATATAATCAACATCCTCATATTCTATCACAAGCTAGATTGCTTTAAATTTCACATTACATTGTTTGAGTTGGCCGAGTGGTCAAGAACCGATGTAAATAGTAAAAGATTTAGAGGGAATGAATTTGTCATGGCAATCACATATGTAAGATTTAATAATAAAATGGTTGAGGTGAAGGCAAGCAGACCATAATGCTCATAGATATCAAAACCCCCGCTACAAATTTCCAGCCCCTTGAACCAAAAAATACAAATCATAGAACATACTAATAGCATTTTTGTTAAACTATCAAATACCTTCCAACTACAAAGGATTAAATTTCACCTACTTAGGATTTAATAATAAAATAGTGAGGTGAAGGTAAGCTGACCATGGCGCTCATGGATATCAAAACCCCTGGCTACAAGTTCCCAACCCCTCAAAAACCAAGAAATACAAATGATAGAGCATGCTAATAGCATTTTGTTAAACTATCAAATACTTCACAACTACGAAGGAATAAGAGCACTAATGTCACTAATTCACGATATATTTTCTTTTCCAGCTTCAACCCACTTAGCAGTAGAGAAATGTTATTAATGGAGGTTTTTCTAATAATCAGAAGGTTTTTTTGTAAATTGGGAAAGTCTTTTGTAAACATCATGGATATTACAACCCTTTTGTAAATTTCAATTATCAATTAAATTGTCTCTTATCAAATAAATAAATAAATAAAAATAACCAGAACATACCAAATATTAGAAGGTAATGCCAACAATTCATTCATTACTTCAGTTGATGGTTGGTTATCAAAGGAGACTCCTCAGACGCGAAACGCACCCCCCCCCCCCCCCCCCCCC